GCATCCTTCATCTTCCCCACACCGAACTTACCAGCATTTTCTGACACAAAGGTGTGAATGAAAAAGTACTAAGAATTCATTCTCCTTGCAAACAAATTGCTAAACCCGAAGAAGGACCTAAGAGACTTAAAGAAAATAAATGAACATAGATTTGTTTTTTTTTTTTTTAGTTCAACCATGAACTATTTTCAGTTAAGCAAAGAGTCATACAAAATGCCACACTGAACCTGAAAGCCAGGCACCTAAAAGGTGCCTGAAAACCACTTTAAGATTTGGACTCACATAAAAACCATATTTCTTACTCAAGAAAACACTATAATTTATGAATTTTATTTTTAAGAGCAATTTCTTTTTATCATCCATTTGGAACAGAGATTGTGACAATGTTTAACTGTGGTACATTTTCCTTTTTTTAGTTTGTTTTGTTTTGGTTATGTTTCTTTGTGGTAATCCAGTATATTGCTCCTCTAGACAACCTGTAGACATCTCGTTTCTTTAAAGCCATTGAAGTGGTAAAATTTTCTGACAACCAAGAGCGTATGTCTTTCTAATATAACTATAAGTCATACCTTTGTGGATTAGGCTTCTTAAAAAATACCATATTTGATTGACTTTTCTGATTTGCTCGTATTTATTTTCTATTATCTATGCAAAACACTATTCTGACAAAATGGTGGTAATCAAATTATTCTGGAAATGTGTATTTTCTTAAGCTGTCAAAACTATGGAATGCATGTAAAAAAGTTAACTTTCAAAAAAAAAAAAATCAAATGCCGTAACTAGGCAGAATCAACACATGCTTTTATTTCCATTGCATATAAAATTTCATATGAAGGTATTGATGTACAGTACTAACCCATAGGCTGTAAGAGAGGCTAAGAAACCAGTGAAAGAATAGCCATGTGCAATGTTCACACAAGTTGCCACTCTCAAGACATCCCCAAAGAAAATACCGAATTAAAACAGTAACAAGAAATTGTTCTGGATTTCTGTTGTTGTAGTGTCCCTTTTAGACCATATAAAACAAAAGCATTCGAATTCCTTTGGGCCAGGGCTGCTAAAATCTACAGTTTGTGTCAAAAAGGAGATTCTGTTTTTTCTTGAAAAAGAATCTCTCCTTTCATGAATAAGTCGCAAGTTACAAGGGCTGGGCATCACTGGAATGGAGAAGAGGTTTTTACCTCACTCTGTCAAATTCAATGATACCAGCTCCAGGTTATCTGGAGCAATGTGACAAGTCAAACAGCAAGAGTTGCTCAGTCCAACCTGCAAACCTAGTAGTAGTGTTATTAAAACATCTAACAGTTTACTGCTCTTCTGGAGAGCTAGTGCACTATGCTACACACACCTGCACAAAGCTTTAGCTACACCTATATAAAATAAACTTTGGCTACTTGTAACACTAATATTGGAAAGCATTTCCAAGACTGAAGTTGTATATCCTACTATGGATTCTGCTTATACAGTGATCATTTGTGCTACTAAAGAAGAGACATTACATTGTAAAAGTGTATGAGTTACACCCTCTTAATTCTGATCATTCCATTTCACAATATGCATTAAAATCAAATGTTTATTAGAGATGCTTTCCAAAGCTGTTTCAGTGCATTTCAGCACTGAAATGCAGCATCAATTATTTATCTTTTTTAGGAACAAAAAATGGCTGCAATAATCCCCAATTACAGGCTGTAAAAAGATATTCAGAGACAATACAATTACATTACCAGAAGTCTGCAAGAGCTTGAACTTCCAGCAGGGTCAAGAATGAAAATTTATTGTAGTATTACACATATTAGCTCGTAAGAGTATCCCCCATCAGTTAGCAACTAAAAATGTGGTAGAAATGCCCAGCCCCAGCCCCAAGGCTACCTTACTTTCAAATGCAGCTAAACAAGAAAATATTGTTTAAAGTTAAGGCACAGCCCTGGGACCAAAGACCTGCAGCTTTTTTAATTGATATATCTTTATGTATTTTATACTTTTCTTGAATCTTCCATAAACGAGCTCTATGGTGACACTGAATATATTACAGGAGAAGAAATGTACAAGGAATATGTATACACAATAGTCATTCTCTCACCAAGAGTTTCCAGATACAGCAACACCATCCTGACAAGGATGATGTTATAATAAGAACTGATAATTTACAATTAACATTACAGTATGTACATTACAATAAATACATGGTTGTAAACAGAGACAAACAAGACTGTATTACAGGTAAGGTCATTTGGTGAGAAAAATGCATGGCACAAAAAATAAATAACACATTTGAAAAGAGCTGTCAAAGCTTTCTATAAAATCCATTTCATTCAAGTTTTAAACTTCTGAACGCTATTTGTTCTATCTATATTCTTTCATTATCCTTTTTTAATGACACAAAACAATTTAAGAATTTAAATACAGCATTACTGAGTACAGCAACTTGCAAGCTAAAGTGTACAGTTATAAACAAGGTGATTTTTCTTTTTTCCTCCCACTCAATATCCACTCACTGCATTTTTTATGGCAAAAATATTCACAACACGTAAAGCCACTTGTAAATTGTATTGTTTTAAAGCAGTGTACAATGCTAAAACACACTTTGGCAAAAGAGGAAAAAAAAGATTGTACAGTGCATTATATCCCCAACTCTAAGAAATGGTATAATTTTCTATGATTTGATTGTCCACATGTACAGGTGTATATCTCACAATATGGTTTATGTTTATTTACTTTCAATTAGTGCAGAAACAAAACCTTCCAGGTCCTACTGGTTCTTCTGGAATTTATATTGCTTTTCCACTACTGAGGTTCCAGGCACTCTTGGGGGCTGAAAGGACTTTTAGATGGATCAGATTCAGAAAGAAATAATGAAAAAAAAAGGAATTGAAAAAAAAGTCAAAACACAAAAACCTCAGTAGTTATCTTCATTCTTTTACTCCTTCTGCATCTTCTGTGCTAAGGCCCTGTAAGGGCTAATGGTAAAGAAAATTATGACCTGGATGTAGAAGAACGCAAAATTTATTTAAAAGTTGAACTATTAGCCAATTTAAAAACAGGTTGTTATTCTAGATCTCTGGCAATTTAAAAGTACCTGCATTCATATCTGCAAATTTGCTACAAAAAAAAATCCAAAGGGAAAATAATGGCTGCTGCTATCACCTTTTATTAAGAAATTATCTTGATATTGTCATTTTAACTGAATTTTGCAGTGTAGGAGTCTGTTAGCCTCCCTAGGCAACTATTTCCCATCTTCTACACTCAAAACTACAATTCTAATGAAGAGTAAAGTAGAGGAAATAAAATCTCTTCTTCCATGTGACCAAACATCAAGACTGAAAAATGACAAAGATGAACTCCTACCTCCCTTTAGCTTTCCAAGTTATGGAAGCTTTCAGTACCAATGAAACTGAAAGGTAGGATTCCCTTAGCACAAACTGGATAAAGGATGAAAAGATATAAGACTGAAAGAATATGGAGAAAACTACAACTCTGATGATGCACTGCTTGCTTACACAATAATATAAAAAGACAAGACTGGCCGGCTCTTCTAGCAAGAAAGACATGAAAAAATAACACTAATCATCACTTTTATGTTGTACACCTCTCAGATTAGCAAATGCTTTAACTAGATAGCTACCCAGATTAGAAGTTACTGGGAGTCATAAATTGGAAATATTACACTAATGATTTTTTGCACCAGAACAAATATTTCGTACATTGTATTAGTCTGTTCTGATTTAGCAGTCTATAGCTCCCAGAAAAAAAGCAGTCTGAAAAACCATGTTTCAGAGGAACAAAATTGATTAGAATAGCAAAAGAGATGCTTTTGTACTGATGACAATTCATTACTCTTTTCACAGGCTCTGGTCCTGTAAATTCTAATGTTAGTGGTCCCACCTGGTATCACCAGGACCACTTCTTGTAGTAAGACAGAGTTGGCAGGATCAGGCTACTATGAGGGCAAAAGCACTGTATAAGTCCACTAACATATCTGGGAAAATTGTGATGAAAAAACAAATAAACAAAAAAAGCTATCCCACTGAAAAATTTAATGTAACACAAAGAATACTCATGGAACTCACTAATATATAAAATAATAGACATTTATAGCTCAATATTACCATGACATTCTAAGGTGCCAAAAAAAAAAAAAAAAAAAAAAAAAAAAGAATTAAAGAAAAAGCCCTACAAGTATTATCCAGTGTAGTACAGATTTGTACTGAAAACTTGTAAGTTACTCTTTGGAGAAAAAAAATACAACAGTGGCAGATGAAAGTGGGATTTTTTTTTTAAATATAATACCTTGGTATATTTAATAAAAGTGAGCTCTAGAAAAGATCTCTCTTTCACATATTATACAAAATGGAGAGGTTAGTGCAACCCACTGGGTCACATTTTTTTTCAGTCATGTCTCAGAAGATTAGAAATTAGAAAATAATGTAATTTTCACAGCTTATCTTCATGTTGGTAACAGAATCCATTTGTGTCCCATCATTTTTGTGAATTTGTTTTCCAGTAGGAACCTCAATGTTTTTTCTGTCTGTTTCGTCTACAGATGAACGTTATCCACTGTCTTACAATACAATACAATGAATTCAAAAACTATCAAAGCACACCAACATTCGTTTGGCAGGCGGTACTCCTCTGAAAGCATTTGCTTTATTTAATGGAATCTGCCAAATAGGGACCTTATTAAAATGTAATTTATGGATGTTCTCCCCCTGCTTTCTGACAGCATGGAGGTGAAAATTCTGTTTGCAATATTCCTGAGTGCCAAACTGAATCATCAACTTCAGTTTTGATCAACAATCATTCTGGCAGATAACACCAAATTCTGACCATGGTTGTAGTATGTGACATATAGTTTGGAAATCATTGCCTACCTTTAAAAAAAAAAAGAAAATAAAAAAATCCGTAACAAAACTGAAAATGCTCCAGCCCCCCCTGCACCCCGCACCCCCCCTCCAAAAAAAAAAAAAAAAAAAAAAAAAAAAAGAGAGAGAGGAAAAAGAAAGGGAGTGAGCAAGAGAGAAAGAGACTGCGTTTTCATTGTTATGTGTCAGGAGAATGTTCTTCTACCATACAAGGCTCTGCTGTTTGGTTCTCCTCCTCTTCCACTTCTTCCCCTACTTGCTCATCAAGAGGAATTTCAGTGGATTCTGAATCCTGGGTGCAAAGAGTCTTGGAGTCACTGAAGCTGGTGTCTTCTTCTACTTGACTTCCACTGTCCTTTTCAGTGTCTGACTCACCGTCTTCCTCCAGCGTTAATTCAAACTGGAATTTTTCAGTCTGACCCTGCTTTCCCTCTTCCTTTTCTTCAGGAGCAGGAGAGGGACTTCTAGGGATTGTGCTCTGGTACCATTCTCGATTGTCCTCCAGTGTATCTAAGATATCCTGGGCATCCGGGTGAACAAGATCTGCCCATGTCTCCCACAAAGGATGAACAATGTAGTCTATAAAACCCACCTATTTCAAATAATGCAAGAATATGATTACTCACAGAGAAATGAAAAAGTCATGCAAAGTATGAGAAATATAATGCTAGGAAGAGAGACAAGATACATTACCCTTAGAGGTGGCTGAAAGGAAACCATACTAATTTATATAACAGATAAGGTCTTTTACTTTTCAGAAGTCTGATTCAGGATATTGGATAACAGCATGGAAAGGATTTGTTTTCAAGTGAACTGCACATTTCAAAAAACTCTACTGCATCTAGTGAGCTAAATACCTGCTTTATATTTAACTACATTATTGAAGGAAACCCCAGTCAGCTGTACAATAATCTCTTTTGGCACGTATGCTGCTTTTCAGGTCAGGACAGTGATGGAATCCCTTCAGCAAACATACTGCCACGCTCTATGTTTTCACAGTAAAAGTCTCAATTTGCCTCACTTACTACTGAGGGGCTGAATTAATTAACTTAGAGGAAGAAAAGTAAAAAGTGCATTCAGAAATTGTTCAAAACATGACTATGTAGCATCCTTTTCTTCTAAAAGGTTTAACTGCCTTATAAAATCCATTACCTGTGATTTTTCTACAGATGCATTGTGCTTATCACACATGGGACTTATCTCCATTCCCCTCTCTCGTTCTCGGTCTCCCTGACGGAAAAATTCCTCCATTATTCTATCTGTCCATTGGCGGTAGAGATGGAGTGGCTTGGTAGGGTTGCTCAGATCTGCACAGTGCACCATATTCTGAAGAACCTAGAATACATTGAACACCTGTGGTGTTATTGCACTGAAGACAAGCAGCTCCTTTTTTATTTACATTTCTGGTGACTGTAAAACAAAATCTTGAAGATACGCGTAATGCAAAATTTATTCTAAACAGCCAAAAATTAGGTACTTGTGTGATTTTCACACTTGCAGTAACAGCCATGAATTACCTGGTTTCTGCCACTATAAAGGTCACAAAATCATTGTGAGAAAGAGAATCACTTTTTGATAATTTGAAGGGAAGGCCAAAGCCTCATTTAGTCCTGAACTACCCTAGCACTTCATTAGTCTCCCAGAGAATCACTTAAACCATGTCATTAGACCACAGAAGAAACAGAGGGAAGCAGTGAATCATGGTGTGAAAGAGACAGCTCTAATCCATGCTGGAGAATGGGGAAGACAATGTTATTACGTGTGTAATACAAGTGAACATTTTCAGATGCATTTCCTTACCTGAATCCTGTCTGAATAGTTATCAAGAAGCAGGACACCAGAACTGGTCACTTTTTTAGTTTCAACCATAGTTTTTAAATCAGCCAGTAGATTCATGTGCTTAGACATATCTGTTGCAAGTACCTAGAAAAAAACATAAAAAAGAACACTATGTAAATTATTCTACTGAAATTTTTAGAAACATATATATTGAACATATAAATCAACATTTTTTGGAAGGAACCCATAGCTTCTATGTCTGAATACATGATACAAGTAAGAGTCCTGTATGTTCATAACAGTAGGTCCTCATATTATTTTTTTTAAGAATTATTGTTCAACATTGCTCAGAATGAACTGATCAGCCCAAATTCATTATTAATTCAGTAACAAATTTCTGCCTGTAGTGGTAGAATAGTGTCATGTCAGTACAAAACCAGCTTGAAACAGAAAAGTATGCCTTCCAGAAATGCACAGAAAGTGAGAGAAACTTAAAAGGACCCGCTATTTGTATTTGGCTAAGATATGACAAAACTTCAAACTTTCACTTTATTGTTTACGGGCCTGATGACATGTCATTTATCATAAAATGCTTCCGTGCTTTATTACTCAATGTCCTAGCTCTATGGAAGACACAGTCTCAAAACTCACAATGTCAATGACCATTTTCCTCAATGATTGTCTCTGTTTTTTGGTCAAATTCTGGAAAATGTCACAATTTTCTTCCTGCAGCAGCTTGAAACCCACAGCCAAGTGATGATTCTCCAGTACTGATGAGTCATTGTACATCAAGGCGAGTTCAGAATCTGCAATAACAATTGCAGGGCAGAACGTTACTAAAGCCTGTGCTTTTACCAAATCCCTTAAGATCTTTTTCAAATTCATTGCATGCATTACACATAGTAAATCTTGTTAGATTTATTGATAAACTTTTAGAACATTAGAAGCAGCCCTGAAAGTTACAGAATTATTCACTGAGTAACTTACTAGGTCAAGCCAAAGTTGAGCAAAACAAAGAAAACGCTTTGCAATGATGCAGGAACACGTGTCTGGAGTGGCAAGTTAGAAAAAATATAAGAAAGGCAATTTTTAGAATAAATTTTAATATTTGCAAGAGGTAACTTAGAAAATATTATATGCATAATATATGCATAAACACACCTCAGCTAAAACACACTGATGTCTTCTCATGCCTCTCTTCGTCACAACACCTAAAATTCTACTGCTAGTCAAGTTTCAGCTTCCCAGCACTTTGACCTTGGAACACACAGCTGAGGCTTTTCTGCAGGTCTGTTGCGGAGCACAAGCTTCTTGATTTTCAAATCGTGTCTTTCTGCAGTTATCTAAGATGCTAAGATGCCTAGTGAACTAGGCTTACAGTCGTTAGTCCATGACAACTGAAGGCTGGTAGGATGGTAACAGCTATGCTTGTCTTTTCCATGTAATGTCATGTGGTGTGAAACTGCAGGCAATGGCCTTGAATGCTGCCTTTTGTGTTTGGGCATGGTGAGTCCCTGATGCTGTCTGTAATAGTGTCTTCACCAATGGAGTTATTCTTACCACAGTCACCCATATGGCTGTGAGAATAACACACACTTCCCAGCCATGCCTGTGCTAAGGCACACATGTAAGGTCAGCTTAGACCTGCTGAACAGACAGCTCTGAAAAATCAAAGCAGTTATGAAACTGTCTGCACAGCTTTAGCTCTAATCCAGGAATACTGCACAGTCAGCTTGCTTATGCTTTAAGATACAGCTTGTAAATAAATCTACCACAAAAAACTCAATTAATTTTTATGTGATCATACTTTTCCTGTGCTATATTATCTTCTGTTTATTGCAGCTGTTCTAGCCTAAGTCTAAACATACATCAGTCTATTCCACTCTCTGTCCTCTTTTTTTCTTTTACACCAGCTATATTTTAAAATGCCTCTGGTTCAAGGGGAGGTCTCTAAAAGCTTTGATCTTCAGATTTCATTAATCTCATTATCTATTCTCCTGCTGTCTTCCTCTCCTGTCTTGAATAAATCGATCTGTTGAATCAGGAAAGTCTTCCTCTGCCTTTCTTTATCCCAAAGACAGCAAAACCATAATAGCAAAAGCAGAAAGAAAGCAAGTTTGTAAAATGATTTTTGTCTTTCACAGAACACATACAAAGCTTGCATACTTGTTTTTCTCATGCAGAAATAAGACACTAGTTTATTTTCCTTTCAAACAGCCTTCTGGTTTGCTACAACTGCAAAACACTCCACATTGCCAGAATACTTTGGAAGAGCTGGAGCTACAGACACAGCTAAAATGCACTCAACTTCAAAATGGGTATAAAAATGGAAGAAAGCTCCCCCTTGGTAACCTCTGTAAGACATTGTAAGATTCAAGAATATTTTTCTGGAAGGACAGAGTTACAGTGGTAAAATAAACATCTCATCTGATGCTATGGTACTTCATATTTGTTTGTTATTTAATAACATTCAAGAGGGATTCATTTAGTCAATAACTCTGTAATAGACTTTATATAGGAAAATAATAGAAAAGTCATAAGACTAACTATAAAAAAAAGAAAATATGGGAAATATGTACACACTTTAAGTAACTAAGTCTATCATGTTTTTTTAAAATGCATTCTTATATTTAGTGAAATCTTAATACATTGTTTGGTTCACTGGAGAAACAAAATTAGATGGAAGCGAATTATCTTCTAAAGGTTAAAAATTTTGGATTTGAGAAGTCAACATTAGACAGATCTTTTTCTGTCTCTGTCCCTGCAGTTTCTTCCTTGTACACAGAACAATTTAAAATAAACAAAATCTCTTTGTTTCTTTCAGCCTTGCAACAGCTGAAAGCTTCAATTAGTGTTTTTACTTGACTGACACATAAGCCTCCTTTATCAAAAGCTGAATTAAGAGAAACAAGATGTATTTTTTAAGCGGGTAATTATCAGCATGAGTATGACTCCTACACTAGCTGAATTTCAGTCTGTCTAACTAGAAGTAAAGTACCACTACTCATCCCTTCAACTAAGTCAACACTCTTAAACCTAAACAATTCATTGGTTTCCTCACAGAACCCTGGAGCCACCAGTATAATCTGGTACTCAGTTTCTGACTCAACAAGCAAGGAAAAAGCTTTACCTACATGCGCCCACTCTTAAGATTCAATTAAGAATTCTTTGGTTTTGGCACAAAGCTTGATTCACTCTCTGCCTGCACTGCTGAACTGTACTGGTCCTCCCCAGTAAAGCACAAAAAATACAGAGTCAATCTTAATCCTCTTTCATGAGGATGAGTCATCAAATTCAATTTAATTATAGGATGGCCCTTAGGCCATTGAGACAAACAAAACTAGGTGCAGGCTAAACTGAAGTGCATGTCTTATTTGAATACACAACAGCAATGAGTCAGAAGAGGAGCTCCCTTCTTCAAACTCTACTGTTGATTTGGGGTCATTCTATTTTAATACCTGTGAAATAGATTCTGCCCATGTGCAGAAGTGACAGTATCCATAAACGTGCAACCAGATGGGTCAAATACACAACCCTTGCATGTTTCCATTTCTGCTGCTTTTTCTTCTTTTATGCTTGCATAATTAGTATTTTTTAAACTTTGCACTTCTGGGTCATAAAAGGAGTTCTCAGAGAGCAGAAGAATTAACATAGTATGATGGAACTGGTACTGACCTTCAAAGGGCAATAATAGTGACAGAAGGCAACAAAATCCAAGCAAGTTGCCACTAGGGCAACAAACTATTGAGTAAATATGTCATGATCAGGTTCAATAAAGTTAACATTGTTTTTCTTTCAGTAGATGACTGAGGGGATAGAGGTTCAGCAAGGCTGCCAACAACTGCCTTGAGGAATGCAGAAGTACACTGGGTTTCAAATTTGGAGATAACATTGGGGTCAGAAAAAACCAAACATATTTATTATAGCTGCAGAAACTGGGTGAGGAAATTCAGTCTACAAAGCATAAGAGATCAAAAGCCAAGTACAGGATCCAGGCAGAGATTGTTCTAACTGTCTGTTTGCTAAAACGAAACTTGCTTTTCTGATTTCTGAATTTCTATCCTTAATCACGTCATATGTTTCTAATATAAACACATAAATTCTTGTCTTGCTTTTCTTTTTTTTTAATCTTCCTTCATTCTCTTCCTAAAAATTAAACTATTTAATGTAAATCAACTATATTTTCAGGAGATAAAACATGCAATATATTGAAACAATGCCAGTTTATAGCTCATACCTTAGTAATTCTTGCAAGAGTGTACTATGTAAATCATTTCTAAAGTTAGAAAAAATGCAAAGTAATATCAGGTGTAAAATATAAACATCTATCTATTTACTGAGAAAAGTTAGAGGTAGAAGCAAACAAGGAATGAACTGGTGGTATTTTTCAGGTGCTATGTGCAGACCTCACAGCAAAGTCTTGAGAAAACCACTAAACATCAAACTTACTTGTGTTGATAAGAAATTGGTTTGAAACCCCAGGATGATCTACATCATGTATTGCACTGGCAAAAATTGCTGCAAGAATCTCTAAATCAGTGAACACCGCCTAGAATATAATGAAACAGAAATGACAATCACCAGTGGGAAAAAAAAAAAATTATTTTCAATAAAAACAATACTACTTGAGTCTGGATGTGAGCAAGCAAAACACATTTAAAATGTACCGAGATCTCCAGAGACTTTACATACAAGCTATCAAACCCTTGTAAAATCATCAATTATGTAGAATTTCATAAATATTTCAAGTTTGGCCAAAGTGATTTGTAGTTCATACAGAGGGCATCACTAAATTCTGTCATAACTGAAGTATTTTCAACTTCAGTCCGTAAATAAATCTACCTTTATTAGGCAATTAAGTAGAGGTTTCTAAGTTATAGCACAAATTAAATATTTCAGCTTGACTCCTGTGTATCATCCTGTACTTGAAAGATGCACATCTCCTATATAATGCTAAAGGAAATAGTGAGAGACTACACAATATCTCACTTAGCATTTACTGATTTTCCATTTTTATGAGATTATTAGGAAGATAGGAAAAGAGGACTGCAATGGACTTGGAATGTCACTGAGCCCAGTGTGCTGAAGTCAGAAGCACCCACATGAAGCAAATGCTTTCAAAATTGATCAAGAACAGTTCAGAAGTGCAAAGACCAGCAGTGGCACTGGGCAGACACTGCCATTTCACCAGCTAAAGCTCTGCTGAGAAGAAGGCCATGAAAAAAAACAGATCTGAAAAAAAAAAAAAAACCCAAAATTTTACTGATGACTAGCTCAGCTGTGTGGTAAAGCCAGGGATGTTTTAAGAACATTATTTGATCTTTCTTCTTGAGAACAAGAATATTTTTCTCAAGAGATTTCCAAGTCTTTGAGGATCCAAACTTGCCAAGGTCCACTTATAACCCTCTTTTTAAGAAGGTAATACAGATGTATTCAGTAACATGACATATTGACCATTATAGGAGAGTCAAAACGCAGCCCTTCTTGAAAATGAAGGTAAATCCTTTTGAACTAATAAAATTCCTACTGCTTCCTTTACCTGGATTTTCCTAACCATTTGCAGGGATATATCAACATTAACATTTTCTATGTTAAGACCTGAACTCTACTTAAAAGAGGGAAAATCTCCATCTTTAACATCCTTCTACTTCAGAGATTTAAGGTCTTTCAAGAAGAGAATTGCTACAGAAAGAGCAGATTAATTGTTTTCCCAAAAATTTTTGAAATATTTGGGGTGGGGGGTGGGGGGGAGGAAGTGTAAAAAAGAGCTAGTTCAGTGAAAATTTAGTACATGTTCCAATCTGTTTTAGAAATAAATACAAAAGTAGTCTTTCTGGATCAGAATAAACCTTCCTAAGAAATTCCACTTACTCACTTACTGTGGTTAGGTAGAATCCCATATGGGAAATAGCTACAGAACAGGACGTAGCATTAATAATAAGATGGTAAAAACAAGATATGCATTGGTTTGCAATGAAAAACATTATGACAACAAAAATTTCCATGATTTAAAATGAAAAGAAGTGACATTTTCTGCAAAATATTTACATGTAACTTTGATCTTCACAAAATATCTTTAAAAGAACAGAATTAATTAAAGAAGTGCTAAGATTTCTTATTCCACTACAAACTTTGTGGAAATTAAGATCTTTAATATTTAGTTTAGGAGACTCTCAGTGCATCCCCTTCTCTCATGACTGCCACTTTTCTTCAGTGTAATTTACCTCTAATGCTGGGGTGGATAGTAGGACATGGGTTGACTGAACAACATCTGCAGCATGTATGTTGTTGTGGTATGCCACATCTGCATGGTAATGGTCTTCCAGGGTCATCAAGTAAGTTATTAAAGTATCTGCTGGAATCTTAAAAGTTTTTAACAAGTCCCGCTCCTATAAAAGTAAAGGAAAAACAATTAGGTTTCAAAGCACAGAACAGTCTCCAAGATAAGAAAAAAGCAGCATGACTGCTCATACTTGCCTGAAAAATAGTGTGCATGATGACAGTCAGAGGTCTGTTTCCAGATAACTCTGCTACTCTGAAAACCTGAAGACCCCACTTGTTCAAATCTTCAAGTTCCTAGAGTAGAATCAAGCAATGAACAGGTTAAAATCTAACACAAAAATTCCTGCAATTTTTCAGAGAAGTAATTACAAACAGAGGGCTCATTAAGACCTGGCCACTATGCAAGTTACTTGCTAAACTTTGCAAGGGCTAAACTTTAAACTCTGCAGCTGCTACTAATCTTGGAATATCGAAATTTACATCTACCCATTTTTCAGATTTCATTTTACTAAGCAGGAAAGACTGCCTCTTAAGTGGATTGGCCCAGAGGGAAAAACTCTACAGTATCTTGAATGAGTTTAACTGACACACTTTGCTATCTCACTGTCCATTGACAATGAAGTTCAGTGAGGAGGAAACCTCCAGAGATGCAGCAATTCTGCTGCTCTCTCCCTGGTTCTCAGAAACACTCTTCAAATAAGATTCCTGAAAATGTTAGGAGAGGCATAACTCGATCAAAAATCCCTTTATATCAATTTTCTGTTATTACCGAGTAGTTAAGCGCTGGTGCAAAAAATAATAAGAAATTTCATTAAAAAATAAGAGAAAGAATGCACATAAAATGATAAAGCTAAAAATAGGAAGGGTAGTTCTAATGCTGTATACCCTTGTGCATTTTTTAAAAATAAGTTTGCTATCTTACATTTTCATTCATGTGATATTATACAATATGTTTATTCTTCAATCTTCAGATAATATTTATGAATAGGAAGCTTTCTTAATGCATACACAAATGCTAATTTACATTCTATCTCCAGATGAAATTATCTTCATGCTGAAATTAACCCTTATGGTCTGTTTCTGATTTTGCTTGCTATTCTTCTGCTCCAATAAATTTGGATTATTTCAAGTGATATAAATGCCTGGTGCTGCAGCTTGAAATCAATGTGTATAAGCAGAGGATGAACAATACAGAAAAATCCACACTCTGCTCAAATAATTTCAAGGACATATATATATTGTCTACCTTGGCAAGGACATCTTCTTGGTCTGTTTTAACTCCAAACCTGGGAATACTGGAATTAGTTAGGCTGGAGCTGTGCATGAGTTTTTTGACTCCACTGATCTGGGACATTGGCCTCTTCTTTTTCTCTTTCTCTTTCTGTGTTGGAGAAGGGATTTCAACTTCATGTTGCTTGTCTTCAAAAGAATGAATAAAAAGAAAATAATTTATAAAAGAATTATAAATATTATAAAATTCACTGTTGAATTGCACCTTATGGACTTTTTAATTCTTAGAAGAACCTCTTTTAAGATTTAGATTCTTTCTATCAAGATCACTAAACCCATGAAAAGTTAAATATAGACCTATACTTCAGTAAAAGCAGATCTCTTTTACTCAAATTGTCTCATTATTTCTGAATTGGCTTTAAAAGCAACTTGTGACTGTCTGATTACCACTTCTGCCATATCCCTAGTGCTGTAGAAAGGGTCAATCATCTCAGTATAAAAATGTTATTACAACTGCACATGAATACACTTCGCAAGAAAAAATAATTTTCTTTCTTTTTTTCAGGAGAAACATTCTCTGAAATTGTATTTCAAAACGTGTCTATGTGTGTCCTCATGTAAACCTTTAGAAAACTTTTTCAAGACTTGAAGACTCGAAGAATTTAATACTTGTGGACTGGTCCTGTCTACTAGGACTGTACAACCTGGGAAGCCTTTTGTGCTTTCCAAGCCACATTACAAGCACTTTGGATTGCTGGCAGCTCACACCACCAGTGCAGCATTTCTGCAGCTCCCAGCTAGAGTCAATAATAATGACAAAATGAGAGAGTGCTTTGTTAACCTCTAAATTTTGCTGTGGGCTTTTAGCTCTGCAGCAGTATCAGCAGCATCACTTAATAAAATTTATCAACATACGTGCCAGCAAAACTTAAGACAAGAATTAAACTGAGAGTAAAATATATTTAGGCAACTGCCACAGGATTGCTGTACAACCAGTATGGGGTCGTGGAGCACTGCAAACACCTGCTCCAAAGAAACCCAAGTTTGTGCAATGAAGGGCTTTTCTGAAAAAAAAAAACCTATTAGGAACTTGAATTATTTTTTGCTTCTTTTATTCTTACTGTATTTCAACCAAGAGTTTAATGACTCCCTTCAAATTACCTCTTTTTCTTTGCTGAAATGTACCTCCACCTTTTCTAGACCTCAAGGAATATATGAGTAAAACTATAAAAATCCAGAAAATATGTTTCTGACACAGGAGATGAGCCAAAACAGCTAAAAAAAACCCCTTAAGCCAAAATAAAATTTGAAAAGAAAGTAAGAAAAGTTGCGATTTTTACATTGTATTTCTTTCCTTTCTACAATATTAATTTCCAATACAGACTTTGAAACCAGATGAGGTTAGCAAGTCCATTTCTAATTATGAGCTCTTTATATGGTTGCTTCTTCACTTTTTTTCCTGCCTTTTTTTTTTAATTGCCCTTTAGCAGATACATTTAATGGACACCTCAAATTCCAAACAAATCACAATGAAGAAGAGACTTTGGAAATGTCACCAGGTTGTAGCCTACAGCACTGAGTCCCTGGTACTTCACCACTCTCCTTGTAAGGAGAAAAGGGGAGGCAGAGCGTGGCAGCTCTTGTCTGGTGCAAACTGACAACAGATGAGGAGCTGTGGCTTGTGCCTGTGCTTTGATGTCTATGGTTTTAGCCATATGCACAAAGTTTAGACCCATCAAACAGAGGTTCATTAGCTGAGCTGTCAGACTAACTCAAGTGAAAGGAAGTGTCTGTCTGAATGACTTTAGATCTCCAGAGAAACTCTATGGGACTGCCTCTGCTTTTGCAACTTTGAGCACACAGAGCTGTGCCCATCTGAACATCCAGAAAAGACAGCTTGCCGTTTTCACCCTGTTTATGCTATGCTCAATTGCAGGTTCTCAAACATTTTCCATTGATAGAAACAGATTAATGATGCTGAAAAAGGAATCTTTGCATATTATTATGCACAATATAGGAGCCTTATGTCTTATACACAGATTATATTTCTTATCATTGTAAATAACTTCAAACATTCATATAGCCCTACAGGAAAACAGTTTGATTTTTTGGGGGGTTTTTTTGATTTTTTTTGGGTTGTTTTTTTTTTTAATAAGGAGAACAGAAAACCCTGTTTTCTCATGACACTGTCCTAATTTACAAATGTGAGTTTGTAGATATTGTGGAGGTAAGTTAGATATAAAAAAAATAAATTTGATAATAAACTCATTAAATACTTCCAGGGAGAGAAAGTTTTATCTTTGCATAGATGTTCAGAACCTATATATTTAGACTGCATATTTTGAAACTATACAATACATTTGTAGATTAGGTGTTTTCACTATTGTGCTGGTCTTATACCTACAATTCTAAGTATCTAGTTTTTCATGCAGACAGAAAACAGTATCCATGGTCCAGTAAATTCGAAGTGATTGCCTTTCCAGCCCTCTTTCTGCTCGTGACTGAGATCTCATGCGAAAGGCTGACGGATGCATTTCTTTACCCTGTCAAAGTAAGTCTCAAGCTTTCAAGTGAAAGCAAGCAGAAGCTGGCGTCGCAGTCTCCACAGCCTAAGTGGGTCATCCTTTCAGGCAACTGCACACTGTGGTTTTCAGGGCACATGAAGCTGGGCAATACTGCTTGTCCATGACAGGGGCTTATCCCTCTCCCACTGTCTGAAACCCTACTGTGCTGCAGCAGTTGGCACACTGCTGCAACCATGGGCCAGCTGAACAGACACATTCAGCCATCCATTTTGGACAGGAGGACAGGATAAAATGTACTTCACAGGAACCCCACTTCTTTCAAAAAAGCCCCAAAAAGCACCAGCTATGGTATCTCACACAGAATAAGATGGATATTAACATGTATGACTGTCACTTTTTAAAGCACTTGTTACCCTAATTTAGGTGTATTTGACTGTGCCTCTCTTATTACACTGTCTTTATGAACCAATGCTAGTTTGCTCAAAACGTTTTGAGATTGGTATAGTAACTTTATCTTCATGTTCACAATCAGCAATATGAAAGTTTTCTTGATTTTCATGAATTTTAAGGGAAAAAAAGCGCCATGGTTAAGGAACCATATTGTTTGTGATATTGTGTTGGGTTTTTGTTAATGCTCACATCCCAGCATGCCAAGAACTTGAGCTGCAAAAACTTTCTGGAAAAAGTCTGTTCAGATGTTTATTTAGTCACATGCACCTAACTGTGCATGTGCAAACAGGGAATACCAAAATATCTTAACTGCTTGCTGTAAGATTTCATGAGGTTGCACGTGCTTATGTGCTTCCAGCCTACTGAAACCTCTGCAATAATTCCAGTAGGAAAATAATAGTGGTAGAATTCTCTTTAATACATAAATATATCTATAATTACCACTCTGAGACTAGCCAGTTGTTTAGTGCATGGTGCTAATAAAGCCAGGTTGTAGGTTTGAGCCCTGTATGGGTCATTCACTTTAGAGTTGGACTTGAGGATCCTTGTGAGTCCCTTCCAGTTCAGAAGGATATTCTGTGAATCTCTCTGATTCTCTATAATTCATTATATTAATTTCTTAATAGGGCATCAATATAGTAGTTGTAATATGTATATGAATATTAATCTGCAATTACACACACGGGGAAATCACCTACACAAATTAACTGAGCTGTGAGGAAGTGGATCTAACCTGATCTCTGTGCACAAATGCTGACAACAATATGCTAAATGCACAGTTTCTGAAAGCAGAAATTAATATGGAAAGCCACTTGCATTTAGGCTCTAACAGAGCCCAGAGAGATATAAAAACCCCCCAAAGGCAAAAAAAGTTAGCTCTTCATAGTCTTACCTAAGAAAGTGTTTGATATATATTCTGAGACCTGATTGCCTGACCTGCTCATTTCAGAGAGGTGGGTTAGCTCACGGTTCAGCATTCTTTTAAACTGGAAAAGAAAACAAAAAAAAAGTGAAAAGTTAGTTACATCAAGATATATTTTAGTTAGAATAAGAAAATACAGTCACTTTATAACTGGGGAAAGAACATGGCATTAAGAATATATACTAAAGTAAGACAACTGTGAAAGCAGAAATCACATGTACCAATGATCTACCCAACCAACTTATTAATGGATTGGACAATGTCATTCTTAACCTCCTAAAATACACCACAGTGATTCAATGACTAAGATACAGTGTCCTACTAGTAACTGAAAACTCTTAAGGCATTTGCACACACACAAGTTACAATATTGTCTTTCCAATTTTTTTATTTTAATTTGGAAGTAAATATAAATGTATTTATGTTGGAGCAGTTCTCTACTAGTTTTCTCACAAGATTTGCAAATTAATCTATTTTTGCATTTTTTGCAATTCATTAGGTGATATTTGAAGTCTATCTTACCTCTCATCGTTAATCTACTCAAAATTACTTGACAACATTGCTCCAAATAATCCAAATATCTTATTGATTTCATACTAGCCAACATGAAAAGAAGTAGGTTTTGTTGTCTCTGAACCAAAATTATTGTATTCAACCAATGACTTGACCATTCCACTGTCTCAGAAAACTGCACACATCTCCAAGAAACATTGGGGTAGAAAATACCCATCTGTGGAAACACCTTCCATTTCCCTCTTAGTTAGCAATTCACTCTAGGCAGTCTATAGGATAGAAGCAGATACTAATATTCCATTAAATGTATAATTGATTAGGTACACATCACTGAGCTTTTCTTGATTCCTTCGAGACTCCAGGGTGAAATGATATCCTGTGGTATTATGCTTCACAGGTTAATTGCATAATACAGCTCTCACTGTCTTAAATGCATTTTCATTGACTATAGCTCTGCCTTGATATTACCAACAAACAGAAGGCAGCAATACTTACAAATAATTCCAACTCTTGCCAATGAAAATTAGCATGCATCTGTCACTATTGAATTTTGCCTCCTATTGTGCCATCCTTTTATTTTATTGTTAGATTTCTCAGTCATCTTTTCTCTTAGCAAAATCATTTGTGCTGCTTTCAGAATCACCTTTTACCTTCTTCATGCAGTCATGACTATCCATTATATCAAGGAACAGCCACCCTTAGAGTATACACATGTAAACATTCCTGTGATGAAAACTGGTAATTTATAGTTTTTTTCTTTTTCAAAGGAGATAAACCATTGTAGTAAATATTAACCATCCCATTTCCATACCACTGAAATCATCAAAGCTATTTCTTCAAAGTAGCCTTGCATAGTGAAAGGTGTTATTTTCTTCACAATATCTTTGTAAGCCACCAATTACCATATTGCTCACAATGTGCCCAACAAAATTACCTTTAATAAAACATTCTAACCATTAGCCACTGCATTTTCCTGCCATCTTGACAGGTCATCAGCTCAGGAAGTTCCAGAGCTACAAAGACTGAATCCTACTTTAGTCACAAGCCAAAGGCTCAGCTTTGATCTCAGATATATATGTGCTAGGAAGTGCTCAACACATGTCTGAAAATTACAACCATACTGCAAACACAGCCACGGCAAACACATACTATGAGAACTACAGAGCTATGCATTCTAGACAAAACCAGTCTCAGCCTCTTCAGCAATGTCTAATGTTTGTCACCAATGTCAAATGTTGAAAAATCAAGCCAAGTTTACCAAGCAATAAAATGACTGGTCCAAAAATACCAAGACCTTTTTTTAAAAGTCTGTTTTTAAACACTTAACATACTTAAGTCATGCTTACACACTTTTTCTTCTGTTCCCACAAAAGGTGAGAAACTGTAATATATAAGACAAAAACTGAAGATGTCATGGAATAGCTTGTCTCTGGATGGCATTCAGAGACTGCAGCTTCAAAGTAAATATTGAGTATAGGAATATTAATGAAATGTCAGGAGTTGACAAAACCACATTAGCTTCCAGGCATATCATCAGTTTATCCATTACTACTTCAATATTCTCTCTTCCTTAATTTAATTAGCTAGTTCACTGGATCCTAACTTCAACAGATCCTCATTTGCCTGGTTGTTTCCTAGTAAACACTTCTACATAATGCTCAATTTGGTGTTGCTGTTTTTGCTGCAGAAAAGCACTAATTGTGTCATGTTCCACACTCTGGAAAAAAAGGCCATCTAGCTACCACACAGCATGTACTCTTCAGGATGCCTTCTTAAAAGTTTTCCAGTTTTGAAAGAGGAACAAATCACTACTTGCAGGTACCTGATACAGGAAATAGGAAGGACCTTCCCCCTCCCCTCCACCCCCCCCCAAAAACTTAAATGCCCCAAAATAGTAAATTTAACTGCAGGGAGTGGGTAGAGAGGTTTGTAATTGAATACTGGGAACCATCTTATGGAACTTATGGAGCACATACTCTCTAAGAATTTTCAGTTCAGTATTTGCTATATGAACATCCACAGCAAATGGAAGGTACGTAACATTCTTTTCTAGTGGTATGTTCCCCACTAGTGTGATGCAAACCCTCATCTTCCCACCTCCCATCACCCCACAAATCAGTAAAATATGAAAACTCAACCATCTGCGAGAGAACTGCAGAACAGTCTGTGTTACTGCTGAACAAGGGTGTAAAGTGAAACAAGTCCCTCAGCATCTGCAAGGCCCTCCCGTTGAGAGCAAATTCAATTGGAGATGCCTTTGGCTTTGAAGAACTGTAGCTGCATGATTTCCTCATACTCTTTCACATGTTGCTGACACCACAGGACCAAAACTTGAATTGACATGAAAACTTCTGGACTAAGCAGGAGTTCAGAGAACTGTTTTGATTTTTCTAATTATCTGACAAAGCCTTACAACCGTCATTGCCATTGAATCAGATGAAGCTGAGGACCATATGCAGACAGCAGTTGCTGATGCAGAACAATAATGCTCTTTGAGAACATTAAAAAAATCAAACGAGAGAAAAACAGCAATCAAGATATTCAGGCATTTTTTTGTTTATACTCTGTTTCACTGTATCTGTACATTGCTCAGTCCCCTTACATTTCATAACTTGCCTTTTGAGGAAAAAAAAATACTTTTTCTAAGAAAAAAAGCAATCAAAACAGCAAAACCAAATTTAACCCTATTATTTTTTCCCAGTTTTACCTATTTCTCAAAGATTTAATTTGGGCCCAAGTGCACCCATACGTAATAACTGTTTCAAAGATCCACATCTTACACAGCTCTGCAAAATTACTTTATAATGAAATTTTGCCTCTCACATGGCTCCCACAAGCTCTTATTGCCAACCAGAGAAAATGGTTACATCGGTGAACAAACAGTGTTTCATTTATCCAACAAACACCCCTAAGTGCTTGAAACTTAGCTAGAATCCACAATCTCATAATTTGGCCTCCTGGAAATAACATGTTGCATGTTATGTTCAAAACAAGTCAAAGAGGACATAAAATCACCTTGTTCCTAACAGCAGTAAATATTAAAGATGATATTTTGAATAAGAATTTTAAAAATCTGAATGCCATATACTTTCCAATTTCAAGAAAATAAATCATAAATATCAAAACTCTTGTTATTAATAAACATTTAAACCATACAATTTAATTATGATATTGTGAGCTCAGCATGGGGAGGAAGCAGGGGGTTTTGGCTGATCTATGTGTATATTGTATTTTTCTCAGAAAGAAAAATTTTCACACATCCCACTAGGCATTCTTATGTTGGAAAAATGACACATACATCCCTCTGGAATACAACAGTCCTTGACTATATCCTTCGAAAATCACCCTGAAAATGAACTGGCAATAAAATGCCCATTAAGCCAATTATACAGTTCTTCACGGCCAACTACTGATGTCAGAGCAATGGAGCCATAAGCTCTTTACTAAAAAAATCCTGAAAATATTTTCTTAAGCAGAATATTTATAATTTCATTTTTTTAGAATTTAATATCTGCTGCAGTTAGGGGGATGGGTGGAATAAGAAGAAGCAGAGCCCTCAACACAAATACAAGCAGAGCATTCAAATGACATAAAAAATGTCACTAAAGTGAAAAGAGTAGATGTGTACCTTTATCTCCCTTTATAAACCTAAGAAGTCTGCTGTAGGAAAAACTGTTATACATGAGAATAAAGTTACATACTTTAATGATAATGAACTGAGAATGATTTCCTAAATTGTTTTAAGTTTCCAAGAAGAGGTTTGTAGTTTAGGTCTTTCTGGGCTAAAGCCCAATGTGTGCACATCTCTGTATCTATATTACTGCTGTCAGCCTAGGATAAGCATACATGGAGGTGTTTTTTTGAAAAATAAGATACTTTTCTGATGCCAGCAAAGACACACAGAAAAACACAGACAAACTTTTGGAGTAACCATGTTCCTAGATAGCAACCAGAACATTGATACATTTTTTTAGAAGAATTTGAATGTATGTTAGAAAGAATCACCAACTCCAAGATCCAAATAGAGCTGATTTATGGCTATGAAAAAATTCAGATCACACGCTTTATATATATATACGAGTTATGTTTACACTCCAGAAGATTTTACAAATTTTGTGTAAAGTTCTTGGCTCATTAACAAAGAGCTTAAGTAAAGACGCAAGCAGCAGCCAGTTGTGTCGAGAGGAAGCACACAGAACCACTCTTGCTGTAGAGTCCCTTCCATGCAGGCTTTCTGTTCCTGTAGGGAAACCTGCTGCATCCCGGGCACTGTAAAGAGGCTGCCTCCAACACAGCCTTTGGCACTGATACTGAAGGTGAAACATGCACCAAAAAGCCCAGTCCTGCCTGCCCTTCAGTTTGAGCATTCATCAAGTTCCAAGTCCAGAGGAGGATGGAATGAAAATGCTCAAAAGTGACAGGGGACTCTCATAGCACTAGCTCCCAAACCCACAGGGCAAAGATCCCAGTTTCACATGTGGCTGCCTCTTTTCTAGGTAACATTTCTAAAAACTTAAATGAAATAGAATACATCAATGGAACATACTATTA